TTTAATGTATGTAACACAAATTTATTTTAAGATTTATATATTCTATGTTTTCCCTCAGATGTTACTGAAGATAACCTAATATAGGTCGAAATGTTTAATGTTGTTACTTCAATAAACAAATTTTTCAAGCAAGAAGATTCAACTTAGCTTATATGCCTCTTATTTTTCTCATTTGTATTAAATTATGTTTTATTTTGTTATATTATATCATTAGTATCGCTATCTGAACTTCCTTCTTGTTTTATTCTCCTTGTTATTCTTTTTTTAACTCATTAATATATTAAAAATAATTTATATTTAAAAGATTAAGAAATATAATTTAGAAATATGCTATTAATAATGCATTGAAAAATAAGGAATATAAAAGTCAGGAAAGATGTAAAATATAAAATATGTAAATGTAAATGTAATGTAAATGTAAATGTAATGATAGGTTAATGCGATTTAAAATATAAATATTATACTATAAAAATATGATGTGTGTGTGTGTGTGTGTGTGTGTGTGTGTGTGTGTGTGTGTGAGGGGGGGGGTGTTACATAATGTAACAAAAAAAAGAAAAGTAGCTAAATGTAATTATTATGTATAAAAATATTATGTGTTACAATAATTTTATGTATTATAATAATAAATATACAAAAATTTATATAGAAAGATATTCAAATGTGAAAATAATGAAAATAAATATTTTAACGGGTAAACCACTAATACTTTTCTAAATACAAAATATGATTATATTTTTTTACAATAGTAAGAAATATAATTTTATTTTAATTCATTATTTCATTTTATTAAAATTTTTTTATATAAATATTATATAAAATAAAAAAGTCGCGTTATACTTATAAATACTAATTATGCATTTAATAAAATCAATAATGTGACTCAAATATCAAAATATTAAGACATAAATGTCACGAATATCACAAAGATTTAGACATTTAAACAATATATTTTGTTAGAAAGAGAAAGAATGAAGAAAGAAGAAGTGAAAAAGAAGATTAGATGGCATTGACTGGGCAACTTACTTATTTCGCGCATGCACACTCCGTTTTCAACATAAAATTGGGAGAGTTGCGCTCATAGACATAGTATAGATAGACCGAGCATATTATATACCAGGTAATCTCTCTCTCTCTCTAATAGAAGAAGATGGGGGAAACATTAAGTGGGAACTGTGTTTACACTTAGTCGTCCCGGTTCACTTTAAAATAAAGTGGATTTAGAGAGCGTTTACACTGGATTGATCCGCTAAGAAAAGAGAATTAAAGTGGATCGAAATTAATCCGTTTATATTTAAAAAATATTACTTCATTCGAAGTAAATTGGGATTGAATGACTGGGTGTAAATTAAGTCTATAATAGGGATCATAGACACAATCCCCACTTAATGTTTCCCCCCCCCTTCTTTTATTAGAGAGAGAGAAAAATCAGGGTTGTTTCTTCTCACTCGCACATGTCGTCCATTGCCTGAGTATATAGCATGCTCACTCTATCTGTACTATGTCTATGGTTGCGCTACTGTACATACTGCTTTGAGATATAGATATGGGATGCTTTCCAACAAGGAGAGTTTGGTGTTACACAGTGTGACACAGAGAGACACTGTAAGACACAGTTATAGAGTTTAATTGGAACATATAAGTTATTAAATACGCTCACTAGAGAGCGTAGGAGAAGATCATCATGCATAAACATGAGCGCATTTTTTTCGTTATCACCCATTATTGCCAGTGCATTTTTTGAAGAATTATTGATACATACTGAAATAAATTTAAGTAAATTATATGTATTGATTATTTTATTGCTGGCTACAAAGCGCTTTATTTTATATTTGTAAAATAACTATGATCTTTTCGATTTGACATTACATGGAATCTTATTCATTTCAGGTGAGTATAATTTCTTTTCTCCTTCAAGGAAAACTTCTTTTCCTTTGAAACAAGCATGATGCTTAACATCATCTAATGTAGGAATAATTTCTTTACAATATCGACAAAAGAACATATCTGCAATAAAACTTAATCCAGTAGAATATGTACTAATAATGGGTCATCAACAAATACGTAATGTTTTTAAGCTTATATAGTTCTTTAAATAAAAAGAAATTGAATATTGATTACCTAAGAATTCCGGGTTCGGTACTACGTTATTCGAACGCGATGAAGACATTTTTTTGCAAATAAAGGATGTATTCCGTTTCTCGCATGATGCGCATGATGTATCATTTATCCTTATCACTATATATTAAATAAGGATAAATAATGCATTATGCGCATCATGCAAGAACGGAACGCATCCAAAATGACAATAATGACCGGAATACATTAATATATATTAATATATATATATATATATATATATATATATTAATAATATATATTACTAATGTACCACAACTTAAAAAAATAATTTGCTCGATATGGCGCTATTGACTATCTAGACACGGACCAAACTTAGGATCGAGTTGTGTCTACTCTGTGTACAAAGTGGAAAGCATCAGTATAGACCATGTGTTACACGGTTGCGCCTGGTTACGTTATTAGAAAGACACCATGGAGGAGGAATGCCTATTTCCTATAAGTCGAAAGTTGTCCAAGTATGTGTGAGAGATAAAATATACGAGTGATATTTGTCATCTCTGCACATGCATCAAAATCGTAAGCAATAGCTTATTCATTGAAATTGATGAGAAACAATTATTTGCTGATATATTTGACCACAATTATTTATCAACATTAACACTACTACATTAATATTCAGTTCATCGACGATGTACTTAAATATATCAGTGGATTTGTTGTAAGAAAATTATTAGAACATATTTGTCACATTTGTACAATTTTTGTCATTGCAAAATCGACTGAAAACATAATGCTCTGAAACAGTTATTCGATCAAATTAATATAATAAAATATAACTCGCATTAGAAAAAATATTAAGACAATTATGAAAGTGACAATTATAAAAGTATTTAACGATGTTTGTCATTCAGCGTTTAATGACATGTGTGATTTAATTTAAATGAGTTGTAATAAATACCTCGGCCAATATGAATATATAAGCAAATGAAAAAAAAAGATGCTCCATTAATGTGAATGTTGTGTATTAATCAGCCATTATTAACATTTTGTATAATATGAATAATTCTATTGAATGCATAAGAGGTGTTAGGACAATAATGTAGAGAGAGAAAAAAGCCTCTGATTAATTGGGTAATTATATATAAGCCTAGTAAAGAACCTATATTCCAGAAGTAAGAAATATTAATAGGGGTTGGTAATATTAAAGATTTTTTAAATGTAGATATTAATTTATTCATAAATAAATATATTGGTGTATTTATAGTGTATATTTTGGGTTATAAAGAAGAAGTAAGTTAATGATATATTGGTTTTAAATTAAATAAATATAAATAAATAATTTTTATATTATGTGTTGCTAATTAAATAAATTAATATATTATATTAAGTGATATATATTAATAATGTTTAAAATGAAGGAGAGAATTTAAAATACATGAAAATTTAATTGTATTTTTGTATAAAATTTTTTATATATTTTTATATAAATTTATAGATTTTTATAGATTTTTATATAAAAAAATTATAAAAATATAAGTGCTTATATGTTTATATATTATAATGAATAGTATAAAGTGATAATTATAGGGGATTTTTGAAGGTTAGATTTAAAAATGTAATATAAAATTTAGATATTAAAAATAATGTTGTAAGTATATTAATTTTAATTGCTGTAGGTCAGTTAGTTAATTATTATTATTATTTGATATTATTAAGTTAAATTATTTATTTATTTTTCGTATAGATTTATTTTGAATTGAACAGATTTTAATGGTTATAAATAAAGTGAGTAGTAGAAGTAGAATACATATAATAGTGAAATATCTTCAAGGATTGATATATTATTGTAATGGTAGATGAGTAGTCAGAAGGAGTAGTAGGGGAAATGGATATAGTTTCTGTGGACTGAATTACAGTTGAAGAATAGCTTAGATGTTTATTTTATTTTTTAGAATATCAGGGATTAGTGGTGATTCTCTTGGCAGGGAAAAAATTGTGTCTTTTTTAGTATGAATTTTAACATGCGGGTCAATTGTAACAGCCTTAATGGCTGTGTAATGAATTATATATGTTCTTAATAATAGTATTAAGAAGACAATAATGTTGATGGAGATAGATAATTGGATGAGCGCAATGACAGAACACATTTTGTAACAAGATGTGTTTGACAATCATAAAACGCAATTTATTAAAAGCATAATTGTAATTTATGTTAATTTGCGTTTATTCCATGAGGTTAAGTGCGCTACCGATTCACAAAGACAAAGATACACAAAGATTATATTAGATGTAAGTTTACAAAATTGATTCATTTTAAACATCAATAAAAATTATTTTCTTGTGTTATAATGGTATATTAATATTTATTATATATTAATATTTATTTAACATTTCATTATTACATCCCTATATAATATCATTTATGACAGTTCTTATTACTATTGTTCTTCATATCACATTATGGCTGAATTCCAATATTCACTGTCAGTACTGAAAATATATAGTTCAGGTCACGTATATTATAGATTTTCAGTATTTGCAGTGAATATCGCAGCCTATATATTGCTTGCCTATAATATTTGTCAATTTCGATGCAGAAAGAACGAGTATCACTCGTATATCTTTTTCTCTCGCACATACTTTGGACACACTTTCGCCATATTCCCGCTCCATGTCTATATACTCAAAGGGTGCGTTCCACTTATCGCTCGCAACGATCACGACCGCAATATTTACCGTTCCACTACCTTGCGGGCGCTGTAAGCGAAATCTTAAACGACCGCGCCGACTCACCTACGAACCATAGCATAGCTCGATGCGGTCGCGATTAATGACGTCATCTATGACGTCATCTATGACGTCATCTATGACGTTCTGATCGCGACCACACGATCTCAGTCATTATGTGGAACGGATTTGCGGACGCTGCGAGCGTTAAGTGGAACGCACCCAAAGATATACTATGACCGTGTGCCATCAGTTTTACTTTATTATCTTCTAAATGCAGAGCAACGATTTTTTTTCTTTATTTATGGATAAAGTGGAATCGAATGAGTGTATTCTTATTACATTTTAAGGTAGGAATTCTTAGATAGAGATAAGGTAGGAAGAAAGTAAATATTTTTTGGTAATTGTTTAGAATGATCAGCTCACCTCAAATTTTAATAAAAAAAATGTATTTTTTCGACGCGTTTTCACTCAAGACGAAAGAATCCGACAGAAAAACGCGGTTGTCTGCCTACGAAATAAGTTATCAAGCGTTAAAGTTTGAGATTTTAGAGGTTAAGATATCTGATATTGACTTGATACAGCGTTATGTGCATACTTAAGACGAAGATTTTATTTATAAATTATGAAAAAATAAATAAAATAGAAATAAATAAATATGTTTATTATAGAATTTAAAAATATATGAATTATTTATTATATATATATATATATATATATAATATATGCGCATGTAGCCAAAGTACATACTATAGCATATGTACACATTTAAATTTGGTAATAAATACGTTTATACATATATTTATAGATATATTTGATAATAAATATATTTATAAATATATTTATATATTTTTCGTAAGTGTAAATAAATTTTTGTCTTACAAAAATAAATGAGTTTACGCTGTAATCCAATGTCAATTAATTCATAAAAAAATTTTCTGCTTTAATTACACAAATTTTCTTTTACAAATTTTTTGCTTTAAAACGCGATCTGCTTTAAAAACATTATTTTCTTATATAATTTTTATTTTTAAAGCAAAGAATTTTGAAGTAGAGAATTTGTGTAATTAAAGCAGAGAATATTTATTTTTAGGAATTAATTGATAGTACGTATACAGCGCTGTATCGAGTCGGTATGACAGATATCTTAACCTCTAAAATACCGAATTAATGGTTTTTAAAATCGGTTTGACCGTTGAGTGGATAGGACGTTGTCCCCATACGAATTTTTTGCGTTGTGTCATGCAAATTTTTAGACGTAAAGAAAAAGTTAAACGTGGATAAAGAGAAAGTTAAACTAGTATAGAAGAATATAGACAAATTTATTAATTTAAAGGGTATAAGTCAGGAAAAAAAGGGGAAAAAATAAGAACAAGGAGAGATAAAGAATCTGTGTCATATAACGTTGGAGTTTGAAGAAGAGCTAATTTAATGACTTGTTTCGCGAAGCAGGCCGTCGCGTTTTTCTGTCGGCTTCTTTCTTTTTGAATGAAAAATGCAATTTGAGTGCATTGAATGAGTATACTTTTATCAAAATTTGAGATGAGATATTCTAAATAATTATCTTTTTGCAATAATTTAAAAAAAATGTGTATCTTTCAACAATTATTACAGATTGTTAGAGTTGCAATTTATTAAATTAAAAATGATAGAGGCACCGTCATGGAATTCCAAGAAAGATGAGAGTATTTACAAAGCTGCGGGTGCTATACATCTACGAAAATATGGAGAATTCTTTGAGAACTTGTTGGAAAAGTCCTGGAAGAATGACTCAATGTTGGAATACATTATGGAAGGTCCTCTACGCCTAATTTATAAAGCAACAGAGGACCTTGGCATCCCTTCACTGGTAGAGATGGAAAACAAAATTCTGTCCAAATTATTGGCAGCTGTGGCAGGAACATGTAGGGAAATCAGATTGTTGAAGGTAGAAGCTACTGACTTCTATGCGAAGCTCTTTGCTCATGGGGAGAGGTGCTTGAATGAAGATCTCATTGGTATATCAACTACCAAATTGCTGTCGGATCTTTTGGATTTATCCATTTTTGCTAATCGGACAATAGCTGTTATATACTTGACTACACAACAATTGGCAAGTTTGTCTGGCACTGTCCATGAGATTTACTTGCCCGTCCTGCTAGAAGGCTTCATTGATCTATTCATAATTCTTGTGACTCTCGATGAGATTGTTGATGCTCAACCGACAATATTAGATCAATGGAAGAAGTACAGAATGCATGTACGCTCCATGATGCACAATCCACTACAATTTGGCGTTGCTGAAACAAAGCTGGAGACATTTGATCACCTACTCAAAGATCTGCAAGAAAAATTACTGCGAAAGAACATGTTTATTAAAACGATTGAACATGTAATGGATATAAATAAGGGTGCAATGATGAATGAACAGATTGTTAGTTACCTAAAAAATATAATCACAGATATAGAAAACAAATCTAATGATTGTGCATTGTTGAACAGAAACTGGATAAGAGCTAACATCGGTATTGCTTTGGTAATAAAGCTATTTGGCACTTGTGATAAGAAACTAATCAGAAGAGTATTGGATACTAACAAGAGATTCTATGCAGTTACATTAGTGGGAAATGTGATGTGGGTACCTAGCAAATTCCTCAGCAGTATTGTACCGAAGGAAACTGGCAGTATCATTAATCTGCAAATAGGTGAAAAGATACTGCAAGCGAGAACACAACGATTATCGGTCACGATAAATAATTTGATACAACGAGGGATGACTTGGTGCATGGAAATGCAAAGCATCCTTACAAGGACTAATCTTCAAGTGTCAGATATTGGGCAGAAGCGTATACTATTGACAGATTTGTTGACTTTGCTGTCTCAGATGCAAGAAACCGTTGCATTTGTGACAAATTTGCATGCCTTATTATCAAAGCCAATGAGTCGCGGCACAGTGCAGCTGATCTGCAGACTTATAGAGTTGCAAAAATCTTTGCAGACGATGTTCTATGCATTTGGGCCGGTTGTGGTGCAATCACAGGCACAGGTACTCCAATATCTAGCTTATTATATACTAATTATGTTGGAAACAACACGTAAGACTCTCATTCAGAAAGATAAGAGTTATAGCAGGGAACGGCTAGATGCGTTGTCATTAATAGGGCTAAGTATGCGGTTGATAGCAGGACCAGCAAGCGTAGATAGGCGACTGATAGTGCGTTGTTCATTGGCGTGCGCTACTCAGTTGACCGATACCTTCCGCGAGGAAGATGTGGTAAAACTGCGATTCTTGTTGGATAGTTATGATGCTGTGGCCGAATTGTATGAATTGGTCAATGAGCATAGTGACTACTCGCTGCTGTTACATCATCAAAATATGCTGCCTGCCTATCTGTCTTCGATCGTCGATGGCAATAGAAATATTTGTCACATCACTCACCTGTTTGCCGCTTTCAACTGCGCCATAGACGAGCAAAAGTTCGCTGAATTAAGAGTAAAACGTATCGAGGAGCTCCGAGATAGCTTAGTGAAAAGTGTACTGAAGCCGGCTTGCCACGAGATTGAAACCAGTTTACGTTTACACGTGCACGCACATCTTAAACTGGATTCTACAAATCCTTTTAATATTGGCGCCAAAGATGGTGGTAGGGTGGTGCGAGCTCCGCCGTTTTCTTTGGCCGAAAATATGATCTGCACTAAAAAATTCATTGAACATTATCTGGACGATATGTTCTACAATTTGACGACAGTGGCCTTGCATGATTGGAGAACTTATCGAACCATGCATGCATTGGCTAGTTATAAGATGGGTTTGGACACAGTGCAGGATCATCTACCGACGCAGACTCTCGAACAGGGTTTGGACGCTCTAGAGATCATGCGTAATATTCACGTGTTCGTTTCTAGGTATAATCAAAATTATTAAATAATCTAAAGCTTTATAATTAATATTCGGAAATTAATCAATATTCACATTGTCTTCCATCGTAGGTACTTATACAATCTGAATACACAGACATTTGTGGAGCATAGCAGCGGCAATAAGCATCTAAATACCATTGGTATCCGGCACATTGCCAATTCGATTCGCACTCATGGCATCGGCATCATGAGCACCACGGTGAATTTCGTTTATCAGTTCTTGCGTGTCAAGTTGCACACTTTCTCACAATTTCTTTTTGACGAGCATATCAAATCGCGGTTGATGCGCGATATTAGATTTGTTCGGGCACAACGAGAAGCTGGCGCCATTCCGTACACTTACGAGCGAGCAGAAGAATTCCAAAAAGGTATTCGGAAATTGGGTATGACTGCTGACGGATTAAGTTACCTAGACCAATTTCGCCAGCTGATCACACAAATCGGCAATGCGCTCGGTTACGTACGGTTGATTCGTTCCGGTGGTCTCCACGCTAGTTTCAATGCGGTATCTTTTCTGCCGAACATTGAGAGAACGGTACCATTCGAATCACTTTGTCGTAGATTAAATTATAGTACCTCGACACAGGCTGCGGCCAGGCGATTGGAGAGTGATATTGCTGATTTGGTACGTAACTTCACCGAAGGTATCCAATACTTTAAGTTGCTAGTCGATGTATTTGCATCGGCGTTCCGTGCCGCTAAGTCCTACCATCTGCAGCAATTTTATGCCATTGTGCCGCCACTGACGCTCAGCTTCGTCGATAATTCTGTCTCCAACAAGGAAAAGATGTTTAAAAAAAATCAAACCGGCGCAGCTTTCACTGATGATGGTTTTTCTATGGGTATTGCCTACATTAATGCACTTCTTGATCAAAGTATTGAACTGGATGGTCTGCATTGGTTTAAGACAGTGGAGCAGCACATTGCTCAAGAAAAACTCACTGCTGAGTGTAAGGATGATCATGGCGACGAAAAACTTCAACAGACTAGAGCGCTCACACTTCAACGCCTTACTGAGAGAAATGCTGAATTTCAACTATTGTACTACAGCCTGTCTGGTGCCAGAGTGTTTTTCAGGCAATCTGATACATAACATCCAGTGCTCTTGGGTTAATTGAGTCAATTTTGTAATTAGAAGAGAGATAGGATAAATTGAATTGGATAAATTGTGATGATTTAGATAAATATGCGTTTGGAACCATTTCTTCTCTAATTTTTTAATATGAACGAAATATTTCGAATAAATATTCCACATTTTAATGTCTCTTCCAATTTATTTTCGTACACACACATTTTTCATTATAGCACATATTGTAAATTATTCCCTAGGATTAGTTTTATATTCTCCACATTCAGGACATTGTTATATCAAATTTTTGTTTAATAAATAATGGCTAGATTGAATGACTAGGTGTTACATCTAAGAAAAGGTGCAATTACTTGCAATCACAAGTATAATTGAAAAGATAAATGAATGAAGGCATCTAATATTCATATAGTGTTTGAAACTTTGAATTCAATTACTCATCACAATATTAATAGATATTATTTAATGAGATAGATTATTTATGATAATGCAAATTTTAAGAACGCAAACCTTCATCCATTTCACCGGATCAGATATTTCATCAAGCTAGATCTATGTCTTTTTAAGGACTTAATTTTTAAAAGAATCAACTTCTTTTCAATCGATAATGTATTTCTTAAATTTTCAATTAACTATCTTGCATGTCTAATTAATAATAACGCACTATCGGCGTGTGTGTGTGTGCGCGCGCGCGCGTGTGTATATGTATGCGTGCGCACAAGTGCGTGTATACTTCATTACTTTCGCCATATATGGTAAAAAATAAATGTGTTACGTATTTTGTGTATATTAACAATTTTATGTGTTTTGTCATGTTTAAGTAAAATAGTTACAACGTTCTTTATTCGAATTAAGTATTTTTGCAATCAATAATTCTGTCAAATTTATCGTTCGATAGACATCTATAAAATTTTTTCGTAACAGTCTTCGAATAATTATATGATAATATAAATAATCGCAAGCAATGCACATTATAACAAAATATAAAATCTATCAAAATAAAATTTACATATAAAAATTTACATTATAATGTCATATCACACAAAATTTATCAGAAAAATCTGCATCTTTACTAGAAAATACAGATTAATTAGCGCATTAATTAATCTTAATTAGCGCATTAATTAATCTTAATTAATGCGCTAATTTCGCATTAATTAATCTTAATGCGCTAAGATCGATTAATGTTTGAAGATTAATTTCCTACATATATCTGCATAATTACCGAAATACAAGTATTTTGATTGTACTATTTTAAATGTTTTACTTGATATTCACTCTTGCTGATCTTTCGCTTCCTCATTAATACATCTTCACATCCACAACCTTGAAATTTCATTATCTCTGTGACTAATTAACAGTTGTTGAAGGATGTAGAAATCTGAATCGCTAATTAACTTATATCTTATATGATTCCGATGCAGTTATCCTGTTTCTCACAAGAAACAGCATAGATATGCTTGTTTCCGAGACATATCTAAATTACATTAAACTACAAATCTCATTTAATTTTGCTATCCTCATGGTAAGAGACAAATACAAATAACACATCACAAATAACAAAATCTCAACAGAATTATAGATGTAGATCTCGTCTTATAATTGTGGTTTGGATGATTCTTCCGGGTCCAGGAGATCATCACAAGAAGCCGCCGGTGGTAACAGTTGTCTGCCGCCGCGTTTCTTACTACGAGTGAACACTTTCGTAAGTTGCGCGAATTTACGTCGAGATACTGTAAGAATCATTTATTATTATTGGAGAAATTAATAAATTTCACATACATAATTTTTTATATAAATGGTTGTAATTAATTCTTTGCTTACATTTGTCCCATATTTTTCTAATCTTTCTTTAAATTAGATCTTCATCGTCATGACCAGCTTGACTGCTGCACTTTTCCTAGCTTCGAATCTACAACAAAAAATAGTTCTATTTATTCTCTCTCTCTCTCTCTCTCTCTCTCTCTCTCTCTCTCTACCATTAATTTTTTAATTATAATTTCCTTTTTGATTCTTTACCATGTTCTAATGTAGAAAGAAAATCCTCATTCCAACGAAGTTCTGCCATAAACTCTTCATTTTGTAGAAACATAGCAATTCTCTCATCTTCCAGCATAGAGTTCTCTTGCAAATACGTTGAGTCGATACCATCATCTGACATTTGGTAAGGAAGTCTCAGAAAAGTGTCCGGCAATGGTCCTAATAAGGGAGGTTGCCATTTATATATGTTTTTTGACAATTTACTGGAGTCTTTCTTAGATTTTGTAGCAGTTGGAAGCTCTTCTTTCTGTTCCAACTCGCTTCTGATTTTCTCATTCTCATTATCAGTACTCATAGTGAGCAACTGATCAATTGTAGTATCTACAGCTCCCTGATTCGATCTCAGTACAGCCTGCAACAGATATATAATAAAAATACAAATGTTCATAGAATAAAATAATGTAGCAATATCGATATAATTTATCCTGTTAATTATGCACCTACCTCTATCACATCATCATCCATTTGTGGAAACATATTTTTGAAGTCAGTCATTGCTTGATAAAATTCCAGTGTTGTCTGCTGTTGCTGCTGTTCAGTGGCAGAGGCCATTGTAAAGTATTTGGAGTAACAAGACTGCTAGTATAATTGAAGTTGTCAATACAATATTTTATCAATGTAATGCACGGATATATAATTTGCATGTACTACAACCACCTGCTAATGATCTTCAAGACGTGATAGTTACGGGAGTGTTGCTCATGCCTGTGCACGTCAGGTCTACATTGTTGTTCTTTGGCACGTCAATCGACATAATTAGCATGTCATTGTTTTTCACACAGTTAATTCAAATATGCGCGCAGAGTTCGAAGTACTGATGCCAAGTTATGTCATCGTACAAACAGCATATCAAAAACATCAGAAATATCTCCTTTTCTTGATTAGAGCTGGCACTAGATTTTTAAATCAGAAGCCTATATCAAAATCAAATAACATATAAAAATAAAATTTAAGGAAATTAGCAGAATCTATGCATGAATAGCATGCACCAGCACTAGGTAACATTAGTAGTGTGAAAATGTAGGCTATGTTCCAAAAATTAACTGCTAGTACTGAAAATCTATAGTTCACGCGACGTATACTATACATAAACAGCACTGATAGGCTGATGGCAGAGACGAGCGTAAGCGCTTACGTTAGTGTCGGTCCACAATAAGTATTTAATCTTTAAGCCGTAAGAAATTGACTAATCATAGTCGAGTATTCTTTTCATATTCGATTATAATTGGTCAATTTCTTACTTCTTAAAGCTTAAATTACCTATTGTGGACCGACACTAAGTGATATAGTCAATTTGTTACGGCTTAAAGATTAAATACTTATTGTGGACCGACACTTAAGGATCGACAGGAGAGACTATGGAAACCTCTACCGGAGATAAATTCTTTTTCCCATATTACGGCCAAAATGCTACGAGAAGGAGCTATATAATTATGATATTTATAATCAGAATATTTGCCTGACGAAAGCTACAGAACGATTTTTGTAAGAAAATGTGAGAAAATAAATAATTCATTTATGCGTAAATAGATTTGCACTATAGGACAATAAGATGCAAATATTTTCATCTAGTGTAAATTTTTTTTTAAGAGTCAAATTGCAAAACCGGCTCTGTAGCAAGAGTCATAATTTTATAAAAATATGTAGAAAAAGACTCGTGGCAAAAAGAATATTGCTTCTACGAGATAATATATAGGTGTACTCAAATATATATTTGCACTGTAAATGAGTAGATAGTTACATTTATTTTAATTATTTAAGAGCTAAATTGCAAAATTGGCTCTGTAAGTAGCTTCGTAATTGTAAAAGAAAGTATCTTAACAAAGTTTCATGAAACATCGTTTCTATAAGACAAAATATAATTGAGTACAGATACATATCTGCACTGTAAATAAGGAATAGATAATTATTTTAAATCAAATCGGAGTTAGTCCGTCACTCTGCCGATCCTTAAGTCTGTTCTACAATGCGTCGCATGTCGCAAACAACAAGCCACAATAATTGACCAATCACAGACGAATGTGGGGAGAATATTTGATTGTGATTGACCCACGACCCACGATACCGACACATCGCATTGTAGAACAGGCCTTAACCTATGCTAAGTTTACGGTAATGTAAGCGTTTACGTCTTGTTCTCTGCTATCAGTCATAATAAATTTTGGAACACTGATATAGTAATAACATAGGCATGGTGTAAGAAGAAAGATGGACTATTGCGCATAATGGCGGAGGCTGAAATCTTGACTAATCAGAGCTTGAGCTTTTATGCAGCGCGCTATTTACAAGTATCAAAAATGAAATAAGATTTTTTATGCAATTTGGATAAAAATATATTGTATTTAATATTATAAAAATAAAGTATAATTATACAAACCCAGTTGTTGACAGTATGATTTACGCTTTTAGAATTCTTACTTATATATTGACCGAATTTAATTTTTATTATATGTCAAAATTTTAATCTGATAAGATGTGTCTTATGTCTCTTATGAGTTTCTGTTGGGCGGTTTTTTTAAACACGTTCTCATATTTAGAAACATTCTATTATTATTTCTTTTATTCATACAACGTTTAATCAAGAGACACGGGTGGTGTCTCAACGCCAAGTTCACGCGCAGCGAAGTTCGCGTAGAACAGCGGCGAGATGTCCGTGGCTTTATTTACAAGACCCCGAGATGAACTCGGTCTATATTTTCATATCTCAGCAATAATTGCATTGATTAAGTTTTAATTACGCTTAATCGACAGCTGAATATCAAATTATATCAGAAAAGTGTTTTTATTTTTTTTCTCCGTGTTCTATAAATTGAGATATCGCGACGCAATCGTAACACAAAGTTCAAATTGGTAAATTTAAGAAACGGTCCTGGTCGTCGTCGTGACTCTCCTTTTTCTGTCGCAAAAGGCGACAGGTCGCTAATGAATGTTTCTGTATGACAGCTCTTGCAGCGCTCATTTTTTTGATTTGATATGTCTTTGACAGATGTCCTTCGTATAAAGTTGTATGTATTGATTAATAAAAAAGAAGATATAACATATGTCACATATAATAGTAAATAATATTGTAATATTGTAAGTAATATTGTAATAATATATAATACATTGAAGAAAGAAATAGAAATAGAATAAGAAATAGAAATAGAAATAAAAATAGAAATAGAATTAGATTTTTACAACAAATTATTAATATTTATTAACAATTATTAACAAATTATTACATTAAACATAAATTAATTAAACATAAATAACATAAAAAAACATAAAACATAAATTAATAACATATAATATAAAACAACATAAATAATATGTTATATGTTATATGTTGTAATTATATGTTATGTTATATGTTATGTTATATGTTATATGTTAACGGCATTTGAAACTGCAAAACAGTTAGTTTAGAAATATCTAGATAATGAATTGCAAAAACAACAAGATGCATCTCAAGATGAACCAGAAAATGCAATAGATGTGCAAAATATAGAGGCGGATGAAGCCATGCAGGATTTTAAAGATCTTGGAGCTAAAATTAAAGAAGAGGATGTTTTTGAAATGATAATAAAATTAAACACGGATCAAAAGAGAGTATTTGATAGAGTTATTAGCACTATTAAATTAAATAAATCAGTATTACGATTATATGTTAGCGATGAAGGTGATACTGGAAAAAGTTTTCTAATTAAGACTGTTAAGTGTTAAATAAAATAAATAAAACAAAATCTTAATAAAGAAACTGCTGTAACAGCACTTACAGATATTGCAGTATTTAATATAGATGGTTTAATAATTCACAGATTGTTCCAATTACCTATTGAACATGGTCATACTCCTAAATATAAACAATTATTTGATCATATATTGAAAGTTCTACGAGCGGATTTAAATGATGTTATACTTTTTATAATAGATGAAATATCAATGATATCTAATTTAATTTTAATGTATATATATCTTCAATTATCCGAAATATTTGACACTACTGAATGTAATGATGGCTGCCCGTATGGGAAGGAACTATTGGGAATTATTGAGAACTGAATAGTAATTGAATAGTAACTGCGACTATTGGTGAATAATTTTGAAAAGTAACTATTAGAGACTACGTGTATGAATAACTATTCATGCATAATCGCCAATAATTACTACTCAAGTTTAATAATTACTACTCAATTACTACAGAAATTGAATGGTAACTAGAAATCTGAATAGTTCTCAATAGTTTTCAATAGTTCCTTTCCACACAGGGGTGTAAGGAAAATGCTGTTGCTTTTTAAAAAAACATGTAATTGCATATTACGAATTAAATTAACTCTTTTTTAAAAACTATATGTTTTCTATGCACTAATTTATTTATCTTATTTTATGCATAACAGTATTAAGATATAATAGCAAAGACTGAGTTTATGAGATATTTTATATTTTATGTTGAAATGTGCAAGAGTAAAGTGTAAAGTTATTATTTTTTTGACAATTTTATCTTAATAATTAACGTATGTTCAGTTTCTCAGTATTTAAAAATTTAACGAACAAAAGGGACTAAGAAACGCGCGGTAAACAGTGCGCAATGAACTTTATAAATCTTCTTGATTAAAAAATCTTCTTTATTCAATCAAACGTTTCGGCTCTGGTATTGAGCCATCTTCAGTGATAAATAATAGTCAGAAGGCAACTCTAATGTGATAATGATAAAAGTACGTCGCTCACGACGGTTGCTAAGTCGTGTGAGGGAACAAATCTTTCTGTCATGTCCCTAATGAAGCGGCACCAATATAATTGAAGTCAATTTCTAACAATTTTTTATATAATATGAAATTTCCTTATTCACCACATTAAAGCCAAGTTATACATAGTAGATAGTGTCAATTCAAAAAAGTAAAAACATTACAGAAATGTTACAGCCACGAGTACAATTATTAAAAAACGTATCAGTCAAAAGACAGTCATATACTGTATGAAATCAACCGTGTAAAGAAATTAAGTTGAAAATAAAAAACAAGCCAAAGGTCAAGAAATATATAAAATTATAATTTGTCAAGAACAGAGATATAAGCACGATGAAGGTATTCCGTATCCGTTTGTAGATTTAGTGTATTACTGTTTTGCAGTTTGATAAATAACATCTCCGAGATTAAATGTTTATCACAATCGCGTGCAGAATCTAAAATTTTAACACTATTCCAAGCAAACTCATGTCCACTTTCTATTTTGTGATTAGTAATAACTAATTTAGAGTTCGTATTCCTTCGAATATGACTGCGATATTCGTTCAATCTCGTTTTTAGCTGTCTCTTAATTTGTTCCACATAACACTTCTCGTAATTCTTACATTCAATTTTGTATACTACATTTTTTCCAATCGGATTTCTGTCCTTATGTGCACGGATTATCCCACTCAACTTGTTCATACTGAAAAAGGCTGGTTTGGTGTCTAGATCGTTGATAATTTTTTTGAATTTGTTCACATTAGAAGAGTTAAATGGTAATGTGAACTATCTAGTTTTTTATCATTGTCAATAATTTCCCTGTCGTTATTTTGTGCCATTATTTTTAAAAAACAACTTTTTAAGTCTTTGAGATATACAGTTGAAGACAAATTCAAGAGGATAATCGTTGTTTAACAAAATGGACACAATTAATTCCAGATTTTTTTTGTGATATTGAGGGTGTGATAAAGAGAAGACCCTATCTATTAAACCACAAACTATGCCTTTCTTCTGGGACAGAGGATGTTGAGAGTGATAATTTAAGAACTACTAGAAAAGGTTGACTTATGGAACCAATCAAAATGAATAACGTTATTAGCAGTTTTCATGGTAACTTCCAAGAAATTCAACTCTCCCCCAATTTCACATGTGAATTGTAGTCTTGGGTGGAAAGAGTTGAAAATCTTGAGAGTATTTTCAATCCTGTTAAAATGAATAGCCAAAGCGATATCGTCGACGTATTGGAAATAAAATGGTAACTCTGTGTCAATCCTCTCGATAGCCATCTCCTCAAGATCCCTCATCACCAAATCAGCTACAATTGGGGACAATGGAGAACCCATAGATAGATCGAAAGTCTGCTTGTA